CGGATTTTTCCCATTATATTTGCTTTATCCTTAGTTTTAGTTAATAATTGATGAATCTTGTTTATAGATTTGTATATAGGTAAAATGCTTTTTCAAGTATTAAACACTTTTCAAGATAAACAAAGTATGAAGTTAACCCTTCTTTTATAGTTTTCTCAAATAAATTCATTAAATTACTGTTATCATAAGTCTGTTTTATAATTTTTTAAACTACTCTATCAATAATGTCTCTGGAAAAGAAACTATATTAACTGTTACATGTTTCAACAATATTGTTTCCTTATTTACTTATTGTTCAGAAAGGAATTTTACAAATCTGTATAGATAAAAGAAAGAAATCTTGTATTTTTTGAGCTTCTGCATGACGGTTGTAGGAAAATTCACTCCGGTAACTTGACTCCCAGTGTTATCACTATGGTATTATGGTAATTTCACTCCCCGTGCATTTCACTCATTGTAAGTTCACTCTTGTAATAATTTGTTAATGTCAAAAAAATATATGTTAGTATTTCATAACCTAACCTAAGCTAAGTTCTTCTTGCTAGATATAATCCAGAAAATAAGATGGACTTTTTTACGAGGAATAGCTCATAACTTGCATCACTTTTAGTAATTTTTAATAAATGTTACTTTTATTGTTGATTATTATTTGCCATTGATAAATTATTACAGGGAGTGAATTTGCAAGGAGTGAAATGCATGTAGAGTGAAATTACCGGGAGTGGAAATACTGGGAGTCAAGTCACTGGTCACCTTATATGACATGATTGTTGATGAGGCTTCATGGTCACAGAGAAAATATTACGATAAATTGTAGGCTCTAACTTTTACCATTTCCTTTAAGTCATATTACTTTAAGTTATTTCTAACTCATTAGTTTTTCTGAGCAGTAAGTGTAATAATCAGTTTCTAATTCGTTTAGAGCGATTGCCCAAAGTTGAATACATTTAGTAATAACTCCTTGTTTAGTTTTCAAGTTTGGTAAATAAGCCGTGTAAGAATAAACAATATAATAACAACATTTAAATATTTTTGTGTTTAATAACGTGATAAATCTATAATACTCCTTTCAAAATGATTTTGAATTATAATTGCCGGTTCTACTTTAGCCTGATTGTGTAAATTAGATATAGTTCCTTATTGATAAGACTGTTAATAGACATATTCTTCAAAAAGATTTTCCAATCTAACACGGTCCGTCATTATTTATCCTTAATGTTCTCTCTAAGTTTCTATTTAAACTTGATAAAAACTATCGCTTATTTAAATGTTTTTACGTGTCGTTAGCTTGAGAAAATGGTATTGTCTAATTAAAAAATGTAAATTTCGTTGGGTTTAGACATTCCATTTTCAACTATAATGGGAATCTCCAATAGATAAATGATGGTTGTGCGTCATATAGTTGGGAGAACTGGGTAACGAAGGATATCAGTTACTAGGCTATTTATTAACAGTTTACTCCTCGTATATCGTTGAGCACAAAGCTACACAATAAGTTATCTATGCTGTGCCCACCACGGGTATCGAAACAGTTTTTTAGTATTTTAGGCCTTCAGACTTACCATTAACAGATAAGCAATAAGCAATAGTTTCAATCAAGTAATCTAGGTGGTTGATCTTTTGGGAAGTTGCTTCGCTACAAGTGATTTTTTTGAAGTCAGTATTGTCATACTTATTTTCTGTCAAACAAATTATCCGAAAATATTTTATTTTGTTGATTTCAAGAATAGTTAGGGTTTTCATTATTAGAAACAAAGATGACAAAAAGTGATTGAATTAGGATTAGTGAAAATCAAAGTTCAAAGTTCAGCCAAAAATCACAAACCAAGTTCTTATGTTCTTAATGACGCTTAGTGTTAAATGCGTAATTGATATAAACACACAAGGATATTTATCGTTCTCGTAATATCCACTTTTGAAGTTAATGTACTCTGAAACTACAAAGTGGCTCTATGGTAGAACTGCAGGCTTATAACGCTCAAGTTCGGAGTTCAAGCCCTGCAATGGCACAACGCAGATACCCCATTGTGCAGCTATGTGCTTTAAACAAACACAGCTAAATATACGCCTCAGGTAAACAATCATGACTTGAATGTGACAATGTTGATCTTACTTTAACACTATTTTTCGCAAAAAAAACCAAACAATGCGTAGTTGTTATTTCTAAGTTCTTCAGGTAGATTGCAGATAACAACAAAAGCGTAACAACACTGAGTTAGCTGTCATATATAAGCGTTGTTTCCTTATTTTTCTGACGCTTTGAAACAAGCTAGCAACTATACATACCACTCTTCAAGAAATTTCGGTTCAAACTTCAGGTTTTTATCCACAGAATTAATCTTAACGTTTACGCTTTAATTACTCCTCTAATATTAACTTAAGTTTTTAAGTTATTATTATGTTACTTACCTAGATTTCCCATTTAAATATTTGGGTTAATATCACGTGACTTTCCTAAAAATCATAAAATATTATGAATATTAATAACATTTGCAAGCAGTCACAACTGATTATCAGTATCGGTTCGATATTTAGTGTTGTGCAGGCCAGGTACAGTTTTAGGTCATGTCTGTGGGGATTACTGCTAAGTGAGTCTAATTTTAGTTATTATTTTTTTTAGAAAACCTGTTTCCACATATACTAATGATAAGGCGTATGCTGGTATATGAAATACAGTATACATTTCTCAGGGTAGCTTTAGATAGTGGAAGTATCTTTGTCCAAGCTCATCCTTTTCGGTTGAGTGACGCTGTAAACAAAAAAATTATTATTATTATTTTTGTAACGCCTGTTAAAGAGCGTTTCTCATACGGTAAACAAAGTGAAGTCATCCGTGACAGAACAAGTTCCTCTTCGAACGAGCCGTCTCGTTGCCCACTTGTAAGCTTTCAAGAATTAGAAATAAAAACTTTTCCAGACCGAAAAAATCGGCAATAATTTTACTAGTTCCCATAACTTGGCTAACCGTGTCATAAACACGTTTTTCAACATTTTTAGCTGAGCCACTAATGTCGACGTGCAGTGTCTATTGCTGTAAAATCATCATGTAGCATTCCCTGTAGTTAGTCAAGTTAATGGAGCGAAGTATATTCTTAACATCTTAAAACAAATGTTGGAGTAGTTGCAAATATAGATCGTAAAAATTAAATAGCTTTCATAAAATGTAAAATTGCTTTCTTTCTAAAAATATTTCATAAATATGTGATAATTGTAGTGTTTGTGAGGACAAGGCCTTTCAAATTACTTATCACTGTGTCTTTTGTAGCCCTTGGTATTCATGTTACTGGTTAAGGTTACTTCAGGAGATTAGTTCTTAAAATATGTCTTCTAAATATTCTATTTAAACGTGGGTAACGCAGTAGGTGTAGTAGTAATTAGAACACTCGTTTCTGAGATTTACTACTCTAGCTTATGAATTTGTGTGGAGAAAATCAAAGATATTTATTGTAGAGAAGTATTAACTTTCAATCTTCATTCTACGGATTCAACATTATCAAAACGTACACCCTGCATTTTCATAGGATAACAAATATATTTTCAATTTGGTCAATGAATACCATCTTTAAATAACTGTAATTTCGAGTAACTCATTTCTCATCAGCTAAACAAAACCAACTGAAAAAATATTATAGAGCAATCTCAACATTATCGGTTAAGCCAGGTCGAGCTGAACGATTTTATATGTTTTAGCAATGTCAACATTATCAGCTAAGCCAGGCCGAGCTGAGCGATCTAATTTGTTTTAGCAATGTCAACATTATCAGTTAAGCAGGGCCAAGCTGTACGATCTAATTTGTTTCAGTAATATCAACCTTATCAGCTAAACAGGACCGAACTGTAAAATGTCATTTGTTTTAGTAATGTCGACATTATCAGTGAAGTTAGGCCGAGCTGTACGATCCAGTTGGTTTTAATAATATCAACATTATCAGCTAAGCAGGACCGAGCTGTACGATATTATTTATATGTTTCAGTAATATCAACATTATCAGCTAAGCAGGACCGAGCTGTACGATGTTATTTATATGTTTCAGTAATGTCAAAATTATCAGTTAAGCTAAGCCGAGCTGTACGATGTTATTTGTTTTAGTAATGTCAATATTATCAGTTAAGGTGTTAAACAAGATGTGAATAAAACTTCAGTTATTATTTTGGCCACAAAGCTTAATGCCCTCAAAGTCTCCCACAGAATGAACGTGTGTATAATCTAAAAACTACAATGAAATGTTTCCTACGCCTAAAACCATATGAAGTTCCATTGGACGACAATCTCTATCACTGACCTAACTGATCTGGTGAAAGTAGACATTGTTCATAACTTTATTTCTCGGCTGATAATGTTACGGGTTTTGTTAACTAATATGAGTTCATATGTTTTCTTATCACAGCTCACCCCAGAGAAATATATTTTAAAATTAGGAGAATGTAAGATGCTCAGGCTCATAGCATCCAACGTCTAAACTGCTATTTATTTTTGTAATCATCTTTGAGAATGTAGTTTCTCTTGATGAAACGGAATAGAAACGATAACTGTTTAACTGAATACATTATAATTAAACAGGCTATTACAGACGGAACACTGACGTTAACAAGGAAAACGTGTCTCCTGAAGTAAAACATCAGTACATATAATAATAAATTTTATTACATACGTTCGTAGAATAATTACTTTAAAAGACACGAAAGTTTATTTAAATCGATGTTTTAGATGTACATGTTTTATTTGAAAAGGCTGTTTTCTACTGGTAAAATTTTATATGTGCTTAGTGGTGGTTGTCTTAGTCTAGGCATATATTTGCCCATTGCTATGCATTATGTATGGAGAATTTAGTTACACAAACCATAAATGCTCACTATATTCTCAAACAAATCTCCATGACAATATCCAGCTGCAACTTAACATTTTACATCTCGAACTAATGCGATCAAATAGTCAATAGCTACAGTAAATCATCATGAACCGTAACAGCTAGCTACTAGTTATGTTTATTATCATTAGAATGTATAAGGTTAGCTACTATATCAAGAAATCCTTTGCCCATAGTTGAGCATAAAAAAAGCCAACCAAAAAGATAAATAAAAGATTGGAAATTTAAAAACCCGCAAATGGGGATCGTAAAAAGTAAGGAAACAAGGCTGGAGATGTAAGTCTAGGTAAGAGCATGGAGGCAAAATAGGGGTTTGTAGTTTCAGTAAATAATGTCTACTGTGCCTCCAGCCTTTTTTCCTTACTTTTCTTTACGGTCCCTATTTGCAGGTTTTTAAATTCCCAATTTTTTTATTTATCTTTTATCATAATTATCTATTGATATGTCTTGTGGCAGACTTTATAATGCTTTGAATCCAAGCCTTCGTCGTACTTCAGGTCTGCAAGCACATGTTACCTATTACAGAGATAAAATATTGTATTCAAGAGGGTTAAAAAAATAAGAAGTCTCTTATCTTATATTAGTATCAATAAACCAACATTTATTTATTTCGAAGGTTGCTTATAAGCTTAACTAAACCACTTTCCTCGTTTGATAGAACTTCCTAAAATTGTTAAATTGGCTAAAAGCTCTAGGTAAAACATAACACTGTAGCACCTTAGTTCAAAATCAGATTAGTGATTAGCTGCATAACGGTGATATCTGGAACCCAAAACCTAAAAAAAAAAACAACGGGAAATAGGGTGAAATGGGGTGGGCCGATGAGGGGGTTGCATAGTCAGATCACGTGGCTTAACATTCTTTTGGATATTCAATCAAATATAACAATTCGTCTGCTTGACGACAATGACGTAGTGATCTGGAAAACGATAGTGTTTCAATCTTTCCGTAGTAAACGCCTGGTGGGTTTGGTATGTGTTCAAGATTAGGGAGGCAGCCCTTCCTTCGGGGCAGACTAAAACCGAGGCTAATAAGCTTCGCTCAATGTGCGCTATTATCAATGTATTGTATACATGAGCTGGCCCAGATTTTATTGGCTATTTCAACACAACAATTGAGGACACAAAGTTGTATATAAGCTCACTGTTTCCATGGTCGTCATCAAACAATACGTTATCTACCCGAGATAGAACCGTCAACACATAAAACAATGCTGTTTAAGGTAGGGACTCAGTACAATAGTCTGGTGTGAAGTAATTCAATGTTCTTGTTTTGATCAGATGTATTGCAGAAGGGAAACTATTGAGTGTTATAAACAAATTTGTGTCTTTAAATATTTCGTTCAAGAAAGAATGAAAAATTAATTTTCAAAATTACTCTTTTTTATAATTATTTAGCATCATTCTATTTTCATTATTACCTGAGCTGATATATTGAATAGGAACGAGAGCAAAACTCATTTTGTTTAAGAGTTAATCAAAAGTTCGGAAAATGATCCGAAATATGTTTTTCGGATATATATGAGAAAAAAACATGTAAAAATTATTAACAGTTTTATATTTGACTGAGGCAGAAAGCATATAAATGAATATAATTTATCATAAATTTCCATACGCATGTAAAAAACAAAAGCTTATTATCGTATTTTATTTTTCTTTATTTAGGTGGCGCTCTTGTGCTTGGTTGCTGCTGCTAGAGCAACTGTCCTCCCAGCAAGCTATGGCTATGCTGCCCCGGCTTATCCTGCTGCCTACCATCCTGTGAAGGCAGCCTATGCCCATCCTGCCCCAGCCTACGCTGATGTCTATGTATGTTTACTTTATTTTTTTATCTAAGCTGGAAAATATATTGCATTTGAATAAAAGACAAATTTATTTTATTTTTATACAAGCTCAAATGTGGCTATTATAATAATCTCTAGGCTAAGTCGGGCTTTAACAAATTTCATTTAGAGAAATTAAATAGTGTGATTTATTAAATTAATATATATTATTTTTTAATACCTTTCGACTTTCCATTCCAGGCTAAGCCTGAGCCTTACAGCTTTGGCTATGAAGCTAAGAACGACTACGATGGTGCTCTTTGGCAACAAGAATCTGGTGATGAGTATGGCAGCAAGCGTGGCTCCTATGGCTACACTGATGCTTATGGTATTAGCCGTACCGTCGAATACGTTGCTGACGAAACTGGCTTCCACGCATGGATCAAGACCAACGAGCCCGGAACCGCCAACCAGAACCCCGCTGATGTCCAGATCGCCGCCGATCCCGCTCCCGCTCCAGCCTACACTCATCCCGTCGCCAAGGCCGTTGTTGCTGCTCCCCATTACGCTAAGACCGTTGTTGCTGCCCCCCATTACGCTAAGGCTGTTGTCGCTGCTCCCGCCCACTATAGTCTGCCTTACGCCCATTAATTGTTATTAAACCACTTTAGAACTTGTTAAGCTTTATATAGCCGTTAATTACCAACAGTGCCTTTGTTGGTATTTCGAACAAAAACTCATCTGATTAGCACATACAAAATTTGTGTAAATTTTAAAAACGTTCAAATATAGTCCCACATTGATTGTTTCGGTTTATAAATCATTCTTAAATGTCATTAGTTCAGGTATACTCACTGTTGAATGTAACGAACAAGGCATAAAACGCCACCTCAGCAATTACAATGGAAGATTATGAAAGAGATAAAAACAGAAAAAACAACAACAAAATGTACGCTTCATATACGTAATGTGCATATTTAAGTTATTAAATGTTGCGCTTTTGTTCTGTGAATTGTGTATACTCAACGTATGTCGTTGTGTAGTGTCTTTAAGTATGTTGAATAAATTGAGAAAAAGAAAAGTTTTGTACGTCCGTTTTATTTATATGTATGCCCATTTCAATTACAAGTCAAATATTTATTCATTTCAAACGTAATGATACTAATATATCACTGCATCTTTCATTAATGGAAGATAAAAATCGTATTTATCACCTCCTACGTTCTTCAATACTAGTTCTTCGCTTGGTAAATACTTCCAATTTTTACCGGTAAAAAGTATTTTTATTTTAGAAACTGGAATTTTTCTGACTTCTATTTTTCAACCGATGAAACATCGAAATATAAATAATACAGATATACATCAGTGTCATGTTTATTTGCTAAAGAGAAGACGGGATAGCGATATATATAAACAATCCATTTTGAGGATTAAGAGATATCGATCCACTGGGTGATTAGATTTAATATCATGGACAACTTTACATGGAAACGTTTCTTTTAAGCAATTAAAACTACGACGTTTGAGCTCAGTGGTGCCATCTTCAGGCAGTAGTATGATCGGTTGAAACCGACCAGTTTTAACTGCTTAAAAGAAACGTTTCCACTCTAAAGCTAGTCACGATATTAAATTTAATACCTGTTTTTGTTCAATCAGTTTTTCCTGTACTGCTCACGTTGTTATTTTGAAGCTAAAAATGTTACGTGTATTCATATATAACTGTACGACCACTTGTTTGATATTTAATTGACTTAAGTTTTGGTATATTGAGGTGATATTCTTAGCTCACTTTGATGCTTAAAATGATAAGGATTATCCAGATAAGACTGTTAAACCACATTTATTTTATTTCTTTGACTCAGTTGTATTTTGGTGTATCTTCATGTATCATTCTTAACCCAGTTTGATACTTTTTTTTTCAACTTAAGTGATTTGTGGTACATTGAAATATGATTTTTGACCCTTCTGCACGAGTTAGCAACTTGAATAAAGGTATGTCTTAAATTACTTAAATAAAAATACTAATAATTACATTTGACTGCTATATCTGGCTCGCCATAACAGTTTTTGTCCACGAAAATCGATTATATATATGTATACATATTACTATCACAGTTAGCCTGATGAGCTCTGATATTGAGTCAAAGGCCTCGTCGGCACTGGTTATGTCAGATATAGTGTGGTCGATATATTTTAACATATTCTTTATTTTCACTCATGAGTTGTTAGAAATACCAAATCTCCTATATTTGTTGTAAATTTATTAAAATGATTAGATGTTGCTGCAAACTAAAATATGGTTCCTAGTCCTTCGTTTTCAAGTATTTCCTTTTGATAATGTTGACTTCAGCTTTCAGCTACTATACTATACTTTACAGTGATGTTTTTTTCCACATTATACCTTTGTCATTTTCATAACAACTTTAACTTTTATTTATACAACTAAAATAATAACAAACAACCGAACTATAAATTATTATATTTACTTTTTTCTATCTATATTTTTTAAAATCAAGATCATACTTCTTAATTGTTTTTCAGAATGCATAACGTGGCAGCATGGCCAAATAGTCAAGTGTAGTTTTACCGCTTTGTTATTTGCCACTTTTGTAATCAAACTTAGGTTGTCAGTGAATCTAAGTTGATTTAGCTCTACGCTGTTTCTTCTGTTGGTGAAATGCCTGTTTATCTCTCTATTCGTAGTTCTTGATTCCCCTGGCACCTTAGATATAGGTATTAATTCTGATTTTCAGTTTTAACTTTCATCTTTTTGAATTTTCTTTTGTTGAAAATGGGTGATATAAGTCAAAATTATTATCAATAAGTCTTTTTTTTTTGTTGACTAGTTTTATTTATTTGTTTTCTTACTACAAATATATTTAGAGTAAGGCATGGCGATTAGAATGCTCGACTCTCAACCTGTGGAGAGCGGGTTAGAAATCCCCGTCACATCGAACATGCCTGCCCTTTCAGCCGTGGGGGGCATTATAACGTGTTACGGTCGATCCCACTATTGGATGGTTTAGAGTAAACTAATGCGGTCGTTTAAATCATTTCTGTTACTTCTTTTGTGGTTTTAAAATGTTATGTTCATACCCTATTACAGTTTTAAACCAATTTTATTTCTGCTTTTTATGAACGATTTAAATGTTTCATTCCTAAATTTACAAACTTTCGATATCATGTAATCTTGATTTTTTTTTTTTTCAGTAGCGAGGTCTTAGTTCTGGAATATATTGAGTTAACTAAATGAGTTAACCATTCAAGAGTAAGATCATGGTTTTATATATATATAACTAGCGTATAGCCCATCAAAATTGACGGGGCAAGTACTACTATCCCCACCCCATAGTATAACCTAACCTTACATTTCCTAGCTAACTCGCCCTCCAGTGGCACAGCGGTATGTCTGCGGACTTACAACGCTAGAAACTGGGTTTCGATACTCGTGGTGGGCAGAGCACAAATAACCCATGGTGTAGCTTTGTGCTTAACTTCAAACAAACAAACACTTAGAAATCGTTTCTTAACAGGATCTTTTTTTTTCAGTTTATCCGAATGCGTATTATAATAACTTTAACGTTACAGTTTTAATTTACCGTCAGACTTTGTATATAAAGTATAACAAATGATTTTCATTGAAGATAAAAAAGACTCGATTAGTAAGAGTTTAGTTCATTTGAAAATGAAAGGTCGATAGGTACTAAACACAATCATAACGATTACTGGTATTATAGTTTCATGCATATATATATATTGCAAAGAACGACTTGATTATACATTCAAAGTATTGCCTTAGGGTTTCAAAAATAGTCAAGAGTCAAAGCGAATGACATAGCAGGGTTTTTAGAATAATACTCATCTAGTGGATATACACATAATATTATGTAAGTAACTGAACTCCCAGAGACTCAATAAATGTTTTGTGCTTTTATTTAAAAGTATTTTCAGAAACGAACATAATTATTTTTATTTACCCACATGCATATATATCTACATATATTTTTACTAACATTGATAATATTTCACTATTCTAGTTGGGACATCTCATGATATCACACAACCAAACTTCTTCAAATGTTCTTTTCGTTGGAGAAAATGCTGAACGTGTGTGTTTACATCAAGCGCGACCTCTATCGCTGATTTAAAAAAGTAAGGAAATGTGATCAAAGTACGTAAATCATACGCAGATAGCCCTCGTGTAGCTTTGCGCGCAATTCGAAACAAAACAATCAAACAAAGTCGTAAACCATACATTGCTTTCACTATATATAACAACGAAGGCTTAAATAATTTTTTTTACGTCGGATGTATATTGTAAATCACTTTATCTGAAAGATTTTAATTTCTTTTAAATCATAGGTCAAAACTGATCTAAAACTAATCTTGACATACGATTAACCTAATCATGTCGATAAAGAGATGTCCCGTTTAAGTGTAAGGTAGTTACAAAGCCACAGATCGATTTGTAAAAATCGTTAGCTAATAAACAATACTATGTAACTATGAGAATTATAATTAGCGTGGAAACAATTACCCTAAACTTACGATTTTATTGTATGAAAAACATTATCCTAAAGCACAATTTAATCTGTAAAATGACATCCACAAGTGAATGTGGAAACTTTTGTTGTAAATTCACGAGTTCGTGTTGGAGACAATTGATTTAAACTCAGAACTTAGTTTGAGAACTGTTATTCTTAAGTCATGAGTTACTATAAACATTGGTAGCTATTATAGCTATTTAAAAGCAAGCTATGAATAAGGTAAAGAATATTTTACAAGCTATTTGCAACATTGTTTGTTTTAAGTTGTTTTTCTTAACTCTACAAATGTATAGCAATAGTATGGAAACGTTCTTGCAATTATCAGCTCCTATAGTACTCCTGCTTTAGTCGTTGTGTTTGCTTTTGTAGGTGTAAAAAGAAAATCTCTCATAACCCTCATGATCTAAGTGCTTGATGAGTGCTGAGAATTCTGTTGTTGGTGCTTCTGTACTGATCTGCAGATATAAGTCAGATGTTACTTAAAGAAGTCATAGAATGAGTCGGTTACTCCTGGAACTTCAAGTAGTTTTAGTTGATTTGTCGTTGTATCCTTAGTGTTGCTTATAGAAACCATAACCGTAATTTCCTGATAAGACTTTTACGTCTGGAGCCTCTGTAGTAGTTGTGGTTGGTTGGAAAATGTAACCTTGGTATTGTTTACATAAGTCGTAGCCTTCTGATGAGTTTATTATTTCTGCAGTCTCTGTAGTAGTTGTAGTTGGTTTGTAAATATAACCTGGGTACTGCTAATAGTAACCATAACGGTAACGTTTTGGTGAATCTTCTTTGGGAGCCTCTGTAGTAGTTGTGATTGGCTTGAAAATGTAACCTGGGTATTGTTTTTGTAAACGGTAATCTTCTGATGGGTCTTTTACTTCTGGAGCCTCTGTAGTAGTTGTGGTCTGTTTGTAAATATTACCTGGGTATTGTTTATATAAGCCGTAGCCTTCCGATGGGTCTTTAACTTCTGGATTCTCTGTAGTAGTTGTGGTTTGTTTGTAAATATAACCTGGGTATTGTTTATATAAGCCGTAGCCTTCTGATGGGTCTTTAACTTCTGGAGTCTCTGTAGTAGTGGTGGTTTGTTTGTAAATATAACCTGGGTACTGCTTATAGTAACCATAACCGTAACCTTTTGATGAATCTTTCACTTTGGGAGCCTCTGTAGTAGTTATTGTGGGTCTGTAAATATTACCTGGATATTGTTTTAAAAAGCCATAACCGTAGCCTTCTGATGGGTCTTTTACTTCTGGAGTCTCTGTAGTAGTTGTGGTTTGTTTGTAAATATAACCTGGGTACTGCTTATAGTAACCATAACCGTAACCTTTTGATGAATCTTTCACTTTGGGAGCCTCAGTAATAGTTATTGTGGGTCTGTAAATATTACCTGGATATTGTTTTAAAAAGCCATAACCGTAGCCTTCTGATGGGTCTTTTACTTCTGGAGTCTCTGTAGTAGTTGTGGTTTGTTTGTAAATATAACTTGGGTATTGCTTATAGTAACCATAATCATGGTCTTTTGGTGGATCTACTTTGGGAGCCTCTGTAGTAGTTCTTTTTGGTTTAAAAATGTAACCTGGGTATTGTTTAGTTAAACTATAGCTATGTTTTTTGGGCGAGTCTGTCACTTCCGTAGCCTCTGTAGTAGTTGTGGTTGGTTTGAAAATGGAATTTGGGATTTGTTTATATAAAACATAACTGTAGCGTTCTGATGGGTCTCTTACTTCTGGATCTTTAGCAGTAGTTGTAATTGGTTGGTGGATGAAACCTGGATACTGTTTATAATAACCATAACCGTAGCCTTTTGGTGGATCTTTCACTTTTGGAGCCTCCGTAGTAATTGTGGTTGGTTTGTAAATGTAACCTGGGTATTGTTTATATAAACTATAGGTGCGGTTTTTGGATGGGTCTGTCACTTCTGGAGCTTCTGTAGTGGTTGTAGTCGGCCTATAGGTATAAATATGGTGTTGCTTATAGAAAGCATGTTCGTAGCCTTCAAGTGGGGCTTCCGTTTCTGGAACCTCTGTAGTAGTTGTAGGGGGATTAGAAATGTAACTAGGATATAGTTTATATGAAGCATAACTGTAGGTTTTTGGTAGATCTGTCATTTCTGGAGCTTCTGTAGTGGTTGTAGTAGCTTTATACCCATAAAAGGTTTTTTTCTGAAGAATTATCGGCTGGTTAATATACCCACTATTCGCATGATATTCTTCATCTTTGTTCTTTTGTATGTAACGATAAAACTGGTGCTTCTCCTATGATTCAAAATAAAGGATTAGTAATCAAACAGTGTTTTAGAATTTTTGTTTTTAAGTTTATTTGTATACCAGAAAATGATATCTAAAGACTAACCTTTTATACTCTACTAAAAAAAAAGAGTTCGACCATGATTTGGCGAGACTAACTTTTTTTCTCTGATAAACAAGATAGGTTCGACCCTGATTTGGGGAATCTAAATGAGGATAGAGCATCGAAAAATAAATTAGTGACTATGGCAACATCTGAGGCAGTCAAAAACAAGTATCATATTTAATAAAGGAAAGACGTGTGCTTTACAAATCTACTCACACTATAACATTACAATTCTGGTGCAATGTGAACCTCGAGAACTCATGGGATGAATCCAATAATTTTATCTGACATGGATATGTTCTGGGCTGTGCTTAAATATTTGCCATCAGAACAATTTAACAATCTCATTAACGGGCATATTTGTGAAAACAATACATAATAAATTTTATTAGTTAGAACATTAAAGTTATTTCAGTAATCGCTTTTTCTTTTCAATACAATTTCTTTATTATGAATAAATATTGTTCATCATCGGGAGGAAACCGACTGGTTATACATTGGTATGAGAATTTGATTGGTTATTTAAAAGCAGATTTTTTTGGAATTTCTTCATTAGTTACAAGGCTTACTGGCAGTTTTTCCTAATCAAAATTATTACAAGCGACTGGCATAAAGTTAAATTTACCAAGTTGAGAAAAAACAGAAAAAGTTTTAAATGGAATAGAGACGCTGAAATGAAATGCTGCCAACATTATAGATGTTTAAAAAATACGGACACAAAAAACTAACAGTATAAAAAAGGAATACGTGTCGGCAAGAGCAACTAATATAACACAAAATTAGCATGATAAGTCTTTGAAATAGTAAACACGCAATTCAATAAGAGGCTATAAGAATATTGTTAACATCATTGTGGAGTTCGTGGAAATTATTGTTCGTATTTTGAATGTTCAAGAAAATAATATTACTATGCCATCTATAATGTTACTGAAAATATTATAATATTACTGACAATATTATAAAGTATACTCGCCTCATTTGGTGGCGGGACCTCTTCTTCGTCTTCTACTTCTTCTGAGATTGGTACACGGATAATTTTGAAAGGTTGAAAAGCAGGGCCTGGATAATATGAATCTCCTTCATAAAAGGGCTGTATGGAGGGATACTGTTGACCACAGCTGACACTAGTCTCAAGGACTAAGAGCGACAAAAAGAGAATCTGGAGAAATTTAATAACATTTATATACTTTATTATTTAGATAAAAAGATTATACAGAAAAATCTTTAATCGACATTGATCACTAATCAGTTTCTTTTAAAACAAACTCACCTTTCTAAACTACACAGAGGGTTAATCACACCTTATAAAAACAGCTTGCAAATGCTAATTCAATGACATATCGCAAGCAGATGCGAGACATGGTGCAAAGGGCGACATGCTTAGTGTATATTTGATTCACGATGAATTCATGATCATTCGACATCTTAATATTAGCACGAAGGCTAAAATAAAAAAACTAACAAAGGAGATTGCTAAAAGATGTAGAGTCAATAGCAAAATCTTTCGAATTTTTAATGCTCTCGGTGACAGCAGAAAAATAACACAGCAGAACGTTTAAGACTGCAGTTGCTCCAAAAGCACACTCCAAGTCGATCCAGAGCAACACTTTCATACGTAAAGTTAAGGCTGTGAGCGAAAAAGGACCCACAGACCCTAATGCTATAGAAATGAAACTAAGCATATTTCTTGGGGTGTTAAAAATATTATAAACAAGGTTTTTTCACTGCTAAATTAGAGACGGCTAACACATATAGCCGTCGTGTAGCTTTGCGCGAAATTCAAAACAAACCAAACCAATGGGCTTTTGTACCTTTGTATTTCTTAAACGTAGTTTTGTAAACCGAGATATCCGTACAGTGAAGGTCTGTGAGAAGCTAATCGAAACGTATGGTTTAAGATTAACTTCTCTATCCTTCAAACAATCTTTGTGCTGTAGAAATTGTAGTGTTGAGTAACAGAGCGCGATCAAATCAATCTGAATGAACACGATCGAAGATGAACAAAAATTTCCTAGCGTAGCACAGAATCTAGAACACTGTTCTTATTAAATGTGATAAAACTTTTGTAATCTCGCAAAAACTTTCAGATGTGTTTTACTCATTCAGTTTTACAAACAAACAAATATTTAGTCTCTCACTAACAATTTATGCTATGCATAGCTGATTAACTTTGAATTTTAAAAACACGATGAACGATGAGAACAGGGGCTTACCTCTCTATACATCTTTGTTTCTAGTCAATGTGAGTATCTGAGGATCGTCTTCTTGGAGAAGGTCTTATAGTCCACATTGCCCTAATTTTCTACTTTAACTATCTACTACTCAGTGTTTTTATTGGAAAATGAATTGCAAAAAAAGTCAATTATTTCGTCCTTCCCTCCAATTATTATTTTAGGTTTGAACAAGGTGAGGTAGTAGGCTTATTACAGTGTCATCCCAACTTGAAGTTCAATGTTCTGTATCAGTGAGATTGACCTTCCTGATTATAGAAACTAACCTCATTTAAATAAAATTGAGGTCATTTAAGACGTCTGTCGTAGCTAATGCACCTCATGAATAACTCGTCTATCGAACTGACTTTTCGTTTGATTACACTGAAATTTCATGAACGATCTCTTCTGTTTTGCACCTATACATCTAGGCTTCCACGATAACGATCATTTGAGAAGCACAAGAATATGCCTTTTAAATTATAGTTGAGAAACAGAAGCTTAATAAGAAGTGCTTTTAAATCTCTAACGAAAAATTGGAAAGAACAAATTAGCTGATATTGTTTCTTAGAATTTATTACATTATGATTATAATTGCTTCATTTGTTTTAATTTCTTTTTGTACTAACACTCGTACCTAAATAAACCACACTCTACATAGGCATCAGAAGGCTTATTATGTTGACCAAAATTCGCAAATTATAGTTTCAGTACTATAAGATTGAACTGAGTGTTCTTTCATACACTTAAAAACGTTGTTTTTCTATCATAATGCAACATTTTCTTATATATGTCCAAATTATTTCTAACTTAAACAGCACTTAATATTTTCACATGATATCAACTTAGTTTAATATAATAATAATAGAAAACTACATCTTATACCAAGTTTTAATTATTTTAACCAGACAAATACTAGAGGAAAAGCTTCCAATAGACGTTACACTAAAAGTATTAGTGAAAGCAATACTTTGCAACAGATCATCCCAGAAGTTTACTACCATAGAGGGTGTATAATAGCGTTATTGTTTCAAAGGAAATGTAGCGCAAGTTCTGGAAAAATGTATCCACCAGTGTGATGCATTGTAAGAAATAAAGGGAGGGGAACTTTAATTTTAACATGTTATATCGTAATTCAAAGGGACTGCATAACAAATGTCTAAGAAAAAGTAAAAAATCTGTTCAAACGATTATTTCAAATAGATCTACAGGTACATTCATCAATAATACAAAGCAAATGAAAGAATTTTCAAACGTCATTAATTATCACTTATAAGATTTATTTTTACAGTTCTGATCATATTTTTAGCCTATACTTTACTCATTTGTGTGAATTTATGTACTGACGACATTTTTTTTCACTTTCCCTTCGAGCTTTTCTTCGTCAAATAAAATATATCTTGTCACATGCATTAATAATCATATTACTAAAATTCACTGTTTTCACGTTTTAGAATATTTTATGGTGGAATTACAATGTAATAATTTGTGAAAATTTGAATTATTCGAAGAACTGCCATCAACATATTCAAGAAAATATTATTTGTTTTTCATCCCTGATACCGAATGTTTGGAAAATGTAAAAAAAATATATATATATATATATTTATTCTTACTTTTATGGTTTCACCTTAATAAGACTTTGTTAATTGAAGAACCTGTCATATACTGTGTATTTATTCTCTTTTTTAACATACGCCTTCATTTTAAATAAAATAGCTCACTAAATGACTATATTTAATTCAAATACAGATTTGGAAGCAATGTTGATTAGGTAACCTTAAGTGTTAATGAATTTAAAAGTACATCATTTCTTGCATGAGTTGATTGTTATCTCTTTGTTGAGTTTCGGTCCCGGCATGGACAGGTGGTTAGGGCACTTGATCGCAATTTGAGGGTTGCGGGTTCGAATCCCCGTCCCACCAAACATGCTCAACCTATCAGTCGTGTTGGCATTATAATGTGACGGCCACTCCCACTATTCGTTGGTAA